AGTTCTAATCAAAGCCCTTGTTTTTTTCATGCTAAGTTGTTAATTCTGGGTTCCACGTTAGTTCTAGCCCACATCCCACCATTTCTAACTTGTATCCCACCAGTTCTAGTCCACATCTTGCTAGTTCTAATCACAGTCCTTGTTTTTTTCATGCTAAGTTGTTAATTATAGGTTCCACGTTAGTTCTAGCCCATATCCCACCAGTTCTAACTTGTATCCTACCAGTTCTAGCCTACATCTTGCTAGTTCTAATCAAAGCCCTTGTTTTTTTCATGCTAAGTTGTTAATTATGGGTTCCACGTTAGTTCTAGCTCACATCCCATCAGTTCTAACTTGTATCCCAACAGTTCTAGCCCACATCTTGCTAATTCTAATCAAGTTAGAACTGGTGGGATGTGGGCTAGAACTAACGTGGAACTCAGAATTAATAACTTAGCATGAAAAAAACAAGGGCTTTGATTAGAACTAGCAAGATGTGGGCTAGAACTGGTGGGATACAAGTTAGAACTGGTGGGATATGGGCTAGAACTAACGTGGAACCTATAATTAACAACTTCGTATGAAAAAAACAAGGGTTGTGATTAGAACTAGCAAGATGTGGGCTAGAACTGGTGGGATACAAGTTAGAACTGGTGGGATGTGGGCTAGAACTAACGTGGAACCCAGAATTAACAACATAGCATGAAAAAAACAAGGGCTTTAATTAGAACTAGCAAGATGTTGGCTAGAACTGGTGGGATACAAGTTAGAACTGGTGGGATACAAGTTAGAACTGGTGGGATGTGGGCTAGAACTATAGTTTTGTGCCGACTTCGCACGCACTTTCTGATCGTCTCCAATCTCCGTTTTCGCCGATTTCTTCTTTGGTGAGTAGCCCTACATGTTGCCTATCACCTCCAATTTGTATCACGCTCTAACTCATTCTCTATATCTCTCGGTAACATCCGAAACATCGCTCGGCGGCAGCAGCGAGCAGAAAACAGCAGCGCCGTGCCGACTTCGCGCGTGTTTTACGGCCACCTCCGGTCTCCGTTTTCACTACCGTTTGTGCCGGTGTGTAGCCCTTTATATTGTCTATCACACGGTATCTTTCTTTCATTTGGGCTCATTTTCTACCTCTCGTTATATTGTTTCGAATATCGCTCGGCAGCACCGTGGTAATTTTATTCATAGAGATACATTAATACACATTTTCGTTATTTCTTAATTACGATATTTCTCTTCATTCCCCTTCTACTCTACTTCTCCTTTCTTTTTTTTCTTTTTTTCTTTTTTTTCTTTTCTTCTTCTAGCTAATAGATTAATGCTCTGTGCGTCTCGGCCAGGACGACGAGCTTAATAAAGCTCTTAGTTTTTGAGAGAGGTGAGAGAGAGAGAGAGAGAAAGAGAGAGGAGATGAGAGAGAGAGAGAGAGGAGAGATGAGAGAGATGATGTGAGTGCTGGGTCAGAGAGGAGAGAGGATAAGGATAGATTGGGAATTTTACTTTAGCTAGCATGTGATAATTAATTAAAAGGGGCTGCATTACAAAGTGTCACACTTCAAAGGGCTGATCTACATGGGAAAAAATATGAGGGGCTTTGTCACATGAAGTTTTTGATTTTGGGGCCTGGACACATTTTTCCCTTGATAAATTGAAAAGAATGAATTTCAATAGAGTACTCATTATAATGATTTATTAAAGAAATTTGCCACCAACAACATTTTTTTCTTAATCTTGTCATCATCTTTATAAGTTGGATGAAAGGTACCATAAGCTAACTTAGCCTTTAAATTGACCCGTATTATTGACTTTCCTTGCAAATTTAAACAGTTAAAAGAGGTTGGCCATATTGATGAAAATAATAGAAGACAAAACTTTAAATAATATATCATATTTTGATAATAACCATACTCAAGATTATCAAAAGATGTTGATCCTAAGTGTCGGTCAAGCTTGTCTTTGCTCTTTCGATTCGTCGATCCCTTCTTAGAATTATTCTACAAAAAATAGTTTATTAATAAAGATGAAGTAAATCTATAATCTTTATTAATAAGGAAAATTAAAATGAAAAATACTTGTGCTGACTCGGTTTCCCAATATAAAAGAAGAGTTGTGAAATGATCAAGTCCGCCCTATCATCAACATTTAAAAATTTCTACTAGTTTGCTATATATTTACCGTATGTTGAGGCTTTCAACTCATAATGTTACTGTATGAGCACGACCTCAACCTTTACATTGAAAATATAGTGCCATGCTCCACGATAGTCCTCAAGATAATAGTATTACTACAAATTTGTATACATATAATTAGATTGATATATTCTTTACAAAATCCTTCGCTAAGAGGTCTACTCACATTTGCTAAAACAGATTCAAGTTAACAATGTGCAATTTTGATTTCTCTAATTGCAAATCCAAGTGGAAGACTGGTTTCCATAATTAAAAGACAAGTTTTCATAAGATGCACCAAGATGGATTTAAATATTACATGGAAAGTACACAAGGGTAAGAGAGGAATAATAGGTTAAACTTTTTAAACAACAAGAAAAAAGGATATAAACAGATCGAGCAACTTGTAAGAGACTAATAATAGGTTACAAGAAGAAATAAGGAAATTGCAGTATAGCCTTTACTTGCAAGTAAATATTCACCATTAAGGATGAGAAAAGAATATGGAATTTTTCTCATGTTCTGAATGTACAATGTACATTATCTACAAACTCCTTCAATGAGAGGCTTGAATGTGTTTTGGTTAAAAATTTTGAATCAAGTCACCCAAGTGGCAAGTTTGATTTTTTTGAATGCAAATCTAAAAGGAAAACTAATTTTACTAGATGAAACATAGGTTTTGACAACACCACCCACTAAAACTATAACTCCTTCACATGCTACCATAAAGTGATATAAGCCAAAAACAAGATAACTCTAGTGCATGCTTAAAGAAACAATAGCAGTAGCAATATAAGCCAAAAATAAAATAAAATTATACTTCAAATAGATAAGTTTACACAAATACACCCTTTATTCTATAGTCATGTTATTAGAGAGAGAAATAATCGTTTAGAAGATGGTGTGCTCTAGAAATCTGAATAGACCATGCTATTTAGAGTACTAAAGTAATAAAAAGTAGTGAAGTAATAAAAAGTAGTGAAGTAATAAAAAGTTACCATATGCGCTCTCCGTATATTCTCGTAGGAGCTCCATGGCAGCTTTGTAAATTTGAAGTACAGGTTGATGATATTTGTTATCTACACTAAAACACTGATACAATTATTAAAATTTTTACCATTGTTCGATTGGTAAACTATTGGCCCATTCAAGAGTAGCTTGAAAGCCTTTTAGTTCTTATTTTGACTCAGTCTTGCTTGCACCCCGTCCTCCCAAACCATTGGGATCAAGCTTCGCATGTACGATGATAGCAATATGTTTAGTATAGCACGTAGTGTAAAATTAAGATTGAATAAAGGAAATTATTATATTTACCTCTCTCAACCTGTCTATTCTTCTTGGTGATTGCAGCATCTTTTCTAGCTTGCATGATAGGTTTTAGGTCCTCTAGCCTTTTTAATGCAAGTGGGTGATTCTTCATCGCATAAGATTTTGATCTCATCAACTCTGGAGGCAATGGGTGATGGCTAATGTCAGGAGTCCTGGGTCATAACTCGGCCCCTGCTACACTAAATGAAAATAATTGTATCCATGAAGCATCTATATAACTAAAGAAGATAATCAATACGAAAAGAATCACTCATTACTATAAACAGATTAACTACTCAATACCTATAGAGAGGGATGGTGTTGACTGTGTATTAGAGGGTCCGGGTGTTGATTAACCTGAGCCTAATATGTTATCTATAAAAATAAAAAATAATTGATACAAATAAATATCATAAATAATAAATTTCTAATTTAAATATTATTGAATTATTAATAAAAATACTGAATTATTAATACCCTTATGAAGAGACTCTACTAGGGATGTGTCCCGAAGATGACTCGATAATAAAATATCATCTACATGTTTGAAGAAAATAATATGCACAAACACATCAAGAATATATATTTTGAATAATCCAAAGATGATGCAAATTAATACCTATATGAGAAGGTGATCACTACAACAGAAAAGCTAATCCGTGAGGAACTAGTTTGTCATTGAAAGTCGAGATTTCCTCGCCGTAGTGTGTTGGCGAGGAAAAAACTTTGGTCACCATTTCCTCGCGGTAGGGTGGTCAAGAAAAGTTTCTGCGAGGAATATTATAATTTCTCGCGAAATCCTTTTTGCGACGAATATATTCTTTTCTCGTTGTTACTCTTTAGCCTCGATATTTTTCCTCACCTAATCTCATACCTTTTTCATCGCTAAACTAGAGTTTCCTCGCTAATGATACGTGAATAATATTTAATTTATATATAATAAAAGTTATAAAAAAACTATTTTCGTCGTTGTAAGTATCTTTCAGCGAGTAAACTATTCCTCACCAAAGGTAAATCTTTAACGAGGAAATTGATTTTATTCATTATATGCATCTTTTTCTCGTGGAAACAGTTCCTCAGTAAAGGGACTCAAAGACGATGAAATTTAAATTTGTCGTTGTAGGTTGTACCTCATATTCTTCGCCAAAGAAATTCAATTACGAGAAAATTTACATTTGTCGATATAGGTTATATGGTCTATAGCGAGGAAAATTACTTTTGCCGTTATAGGTTGTATCACTATAATGAGGAAATATATTTTTGTCGACGTAAGCAATATACTCTATAATGAGAAAATATTATTTTGATGACGTAAGCTGTATACTTATAATGAGGAAATTTTATTTCATCAATAATAATGCTATTACGAGAAAAACGCTCAAAATATAAATAATTATCATCAATTGTCACCACAGTACATCAAAACAATTAAAATAAATAAAGCAAACAAGTTTTTACCATAAGTAACAATGCTAGTCTAAAGTAATAAAAAATACAACACGATCAAAGAAACATTTCTTCAAGTTAAGTTCACTAAGAATACTAAGCTGATGGATGTTGCCTGGAAAAATTAGCCATAAACTCCTCAAACTTTTTGGCTTGCTCCTCAAATCTTTCGATTACCTCATTTTGAGCATCGATCTTCTGTTGTTGAGTTCCTACAAGTTGTTGGGTCTCGTAAAACTGTTCTTGCAACTCTTTATTCTTTTCAGACATTTCACTCATTGAAGAACGAGAGAACCTTAATGGTGGTGGTCTAGGGCCAAAACCACAGCCCTTAATGTAGCCTGATTTGACTTTGAGAACTTTTGCACAAATTTCCTCATCTGTCATTGTTCGAGCTCCATCAGGTTGAGTGGTATCTGCTCGCATCTTTATCATTTGATCCTATAAGTAAAAAATATATCCAGTTCAATCATATGTAACTTCTCAATTACAACCTAATCAATATAATCCTCTTTAGAACAGTAATATCAAATTAACATATATTCTTAAAATATTATAAATGCATGCATCATTGACACATTACTTACCCAATTTTCCTTTGCTCCCAAGTCCCATCCTTTTTTTGTGCTTCTATACTCTGTTTCAAAACGATCAATTGCACATTGCATCTCTTTAGTCTGTGCTGCCTATTGCATTCAAACATATTTTCTTTTTCAACATATATATATGTACACAATTAAGTTACAAATTTATAAGCAAAACTAAAAAGTATCTTACAATTTGCTCTTGGTGTGACATAAATGATTTTGACCCAGCTTTGTGGTGATATGTCAACTTTGACCTATTAAGAACATTCTTCTCTGAGCGAATCTAAAATTATTAAGACATACACCTTGCCATATCTACCACGGACTTGGAGCACATTGGACATGTGTATGAGTGTATCTATTGCAAAAGAAAGAAAAACAAAAAGAACATTAATAACATATACAATTTCCCTTCTTAAACACCAAAATCAAATTGGATTGGGGGTCAAATTAGTAGGTACTACAGTTTAGTGGGGGGATGAGGCTTACTGATGATGATTCAACATTTGCGCCATACATTCAGAGTGCATTGTGTGTCCACATTTCAAAACACTTATCACTTTTAACGAGTCAAAAAGATACTGCAACATAGAATCTAACATGATGATGTTTCAAATTTCAAATGTAGAATGCGAAAGAATATCACGAAAATGTACCTCAACACATATGGGGCAATTCTGTTTCATTGAGTTCTCCACACATGTGTGCTTACCGCGTAGAGAATTTGAGTAGAAGGAACCTATAGATAATTTTGAATGGACAAAGATATGTAGATTAACAGAAAATTTCAACTAAAGAAGATGTATCCATAAAATGTAGATAACAAAGTGCCATGAATTTCATCTATTCCATCCTACATGCTTGAGTACAATCAGATAGAACAATGAGCTCAACAAAAAGACAAAAAAAAGCATGTATATACAACATCAACAAAAAGGAAAACAAGATGTCAGCACTAAATGTAGATAACTATTGATTGTTCTAATAGAAGTCTGGTTCGTCATTAATAGAAAACAATTATCAAGAAAAGCAAACAAATTCAAACATTTATCAAGAAAAGCAAACAAATCCAAATATTTATCAAGAGAGAGGCACATACCACATGTTTCACAATTGAAGAAATTATCCTGCCCTCCAACTCGACAAATACCGCAATCATCACAGTGAAACTGTCCTTTCTCAGTGTCGTCGTAAATTTGCAGATTTCACAGAACCACTCCCCCATTTTTACACCACACTTTGTACAAACTTCGGTAACCTAAAATCACCCCAACTCTTGCAATAATTTCCAGAAGGAAAAAGAATTTCAAATAAACAAAGATAATTCAGAAATTTTACCCGCTGTTCAGTATCGCAGACCAAACAAATCACCTAATAAATCACAAAAAATTAAAAACTTGAGAAGAAATAATAACACATCAAATCCAAATAAAAAAAAAGATACATATATACCTTCCAAATCAATTATATTTGTAATCTTGCCGCTGGCGGTTGAAGATCGTAGCACATTTGGTTTAATCTATCTTCCAAATTAATTATATTTGAGAATCAATTATATTTGAAATCTTACCGCTGGCGGTTGAAATCTTGCCTCAGATCGTGCCGCTGGCGGTTGAAGACGTAGCCGTAGACAAAGGAGGAGCTCGCCGGGAACCTGAAGGTGAAGATGGAGTCGAGGATCGAGGATTGGTAGCGGGCCTGGTGCATTGAATCGAGGAACGAGGAAAAGGCGATGAGGAGCTGCTGGTCGGCGATGAAGGAGTTCGCCGGGAAGAAGACCTCGACGGTCTGGCCTTGCTCGAGATAAAAGTGGATGATGTAGAACCCTAGGACCCAGCGGCGGAGCCCGACGAGATCGAAGCGGATGAAGACGACGTGGAGGCGGCGGCAGGAGCGGAGGAGGAGGAAGAAGATGGCCGATGGATTTGAGAGATTAGGGTTTGAGAAGAGGGATTTCAGATGAGGGATTTGAGGGGATGTGGATAAGGGGCGCGGGGATTTTAGATTTTGGGGTAAGTTTTGGGGGGAAGCAGAGAACAAATTTTAGATTCGGGCCTGGTGCATTGAATCGAGGAACGAGGAAAAGGCGATGAGGAGCTGCTGGTCGGCGATGAAGGAGATCGCCGGGAAGAAGACCTCGACGGTCTGGCCTTGCTCAAGATAAAAGTGGATGATGTAGAACCCTAGGACCCAGCGGCAGAGCCCGACGAGATCGAAGCGGATGAAGACGACGTGGAGGCGGCGGCGGGAGCGGAGGAGGAGGAAGAAGATGGCCGATGGATTTGAGAGATTAGGGTTTGAGAAGAGGGATTTCAGATGAGGGATTTGAGGGGATGGGGATAAGGGGCGCGGGGATTTTAGATTTTGGGGTAAGTTTTGGGGGGAAGCAGAGAACAAATTTTAGATTTTGGGGGAAATTTTGGGGGGAAGCGGAAGAGCACAGAATAAAAGAAATGTTTATTTAAAAAAAAGAAAAATAATTAAATCACCTAAACGAGTTAAACCATTTAGGCTAAACATCTCATACGGTTAAACCTATTTGGAGGTTACGTTTGGGATCTCCTAACAGCCCAAACGGTTTCAACCGTTTGGGTTTTGTTATCCCAAACGGGTTTAATCATTTGGGTTGTTTTTACTTGTCCAAATGGTTCTAATAACTGTTTGGACTGTCCTATTTTATACTAGTGCTACGCCAAATAGGAATAAGTGATTTTATTGCACGTTTGGTTTAATCTATTTTCAGAAGTCAATATTATATATTAACATAATCTAATTTCAGAAGTCTGAAATAAATGTATATACAAAACTCGCAAATTGTTTAAATCTTATCAGATTTGTGAGCAATCCTTTATCATTGGGATCCCTTTGAACCTGAATAAATATTAATTGGTTATTAATCTTCATGTGAATTGTGCAAAAAACTACAAAAAGGAACCATCAACCAGACAAACCAAATCCTTATTTCTATCCATACTGGAGCTTTACCTCGTGCTGGATATTTATTGATTCTTTTAACGAGGAAAAGGTTCCATGTAAAAGAAAAAAAATTTAGTGAGAAAACCTTCAATTTGTCATCAATGAATTTGGCGGGTGTTGCATATTTTTCCGCCAAATTAATTAAGGAAACTATAATTTCCTCACTAATAGGTTTTTTTTACGACAAAACGGTTCCTCGTAAAACAAAAACTTTTAGCGAGGAAGCCTTAAATTTGTTGCTATTGAAATTGGTGGGGTTTGCACATTTTTCCGCCAAACTAATAATGAGGAAACTATTATTTCCTCGCTAATTGGTTTTTTTAACGAGGAAATAGTTCCTCGTAAAACAAAAATTTTAGCGAGGAAACCTTTAATTTGTCGTCAATGAATTTGGCGGGTGTTGCAAATTTTTCTGCCAAATTAATAGTGAGGAAACTATAATTTCCTCGCTAATAGGTTCTTTTTAACGAGGAAACAGTTCCTTATAAGAACAAAAACTTTTAGCGAAGAAGCCTTAAATTTGTCACCATAGAAATTAGCGGGCTTTTTTTCCCCGCCAAACTAATAATGAGGAAACTATTATTTCCTCGCTAATTAATTCTTTTGATGAGGAAACGGTTCCTTGCAGATTATAGATCTTCAGTGAGGAAATCATACTTTGTCGCTATTACATTTGGCGGGTTTTCCTCTATTTTCCGCCAAAAGAACAGCGATGAAATGATTATTTCCTCGTTAAATGTGTATTTCGCGATAAAAAAGTTCATCATCAAAATCTCATATTTCCACGCCAATAAAATAACTAGTTAGGAGACCAAATCATGATCATCTTTAGTGAGGAACTAAAATTTTCATCATAGAAGGTGGTCTACTGTGAGGAAAATATATTCCTCGTAGAAGACCTACTGATATTTACCGAGAAAACAATATTTTCCTCGTCGAAAGTGATATTTGTTGAGGAAAATAATTTTCTCGCAAAAAAATTGGTCGCTAAAAGACCTGTTTGTTGTAGTGGATGCTAGGTAGGCCTCTTGAAGATGACTGAGCTTGGGGTGGTAGAGCGTGATCAATCATGTGATTCATCAAACAACCTTGAATTCTTCATCTATAATCTTGAATTATGTGATGCAAAATAAGAAATATGTACATGCTAATATGATAAATATTTACTTGCAATTAAATTTTTAAAGACTAATTGTCTTTTAGTTCACATGCCTTCTACAATTTGCTCTTTATGTTTTGCATTTATGTTTTGCATGAGATCATGTTTGTATTGTTTTGGCTTATATTTAGCATTCTTTGCTTTCGCCCACTGGTTGATGACTTTGTTTGCACATTTGACTCGGAGTCTCTGTCTATTATCATAATTAGACTGTGGGCTTGAGTCTCTGGATCAGTCATATAAAGCATGATATTCTAAGAGTAGGAGAAGTTTTGCTAAATATAATCAGATGACACTACAAGAAATTACGTATTTAACGAAGGGATTTCCCTTCGTTAAAGAACTGAAAACCTTTGTTATTGTATGCTAACGACGGGGAAAAATCCCTTCGTCACCCGTCGTTGAAGCCCTCTTCGCTAAAGGGTCACGAAGGGATATACTACCCGTCGTTGTAGAGTCTATAACGACGAAACATATTACCGTCGTTAATATTTACGACGGTAATTATCACCGTCGTTACCATCAGTGACGGGATATTTTCCCGTCGTTACCATCAATGACGGGATATTTTCCCGTCGTTACTATTAGTTACGGGGATATTTTCCCGTCATTACTATTAGTTACGGGAATATTTTCCCATCGTTAAAGAGTAATTCATGACGATTGGATACCGTCGTAAAAGTCCTCATAATTGGTAATTAGTAACCCATCAACGACGGTGCTTTCCCTTAATTAACAAAATACGATTTTTAAAACCGTCATTGTAGATTACAAATTTCTAATATACATTAATAATAATTTTTCCATTCATACTTCGGCACCATAAAAATAATAAGAAAAGAGTAGTCCCCGTTGACATCCTAACAGACGTGCGGTAGGCCCACACAGCAAGCGATAGTTTTTCATGCCAGTCTCTTTGTGATTCGTTCACAGTGCGGCTGAGAATCCGGATCAAAATCTTGTTCATTGCTTCCACCTGCCCGTTCGTCTGGGAGTTGTATGGTGACGAAAAATGTTGCTTTCTTATTTACTTGTGGAGGAGATCCTTCACGGGTTGGCTGATGAATTGGGAGCCGTTATCGGCGATAATCCTTTGTTTCGGGAATACCGAACCGAGAGATGATGTTCTCTTGAATGAATGCCGCGACTGCTCACTGCT